GATTTTAAAATTGAGGCATAACTTTTTGTAGAAAAGCAGTCTACAACAGTTGTAAACAAATGCTGGATTGCCATGACAAATGGGTTGAGGCTTTTGAAAAGGGCTTGCACCGGATCTTATTCATGAATGGAAAAAATGGACAAATTACTCAGATTAAAAGTGTAATCGAAAAGAAAATGACATCAAGGAATGTAAGACAACCCAGAAAGCCCATCAGCATCATTACCCCAGCAAACCCAGAGGCAACTCCAAAGCCACCAATACAACTGCTTGAGAAGTCTGCCAAGAAGCCAGATGCAGCTGGTACTGGAAGAATATCTTCTACAAATTAGCTTCTGAACCCTGTAATTGCCATCAAAAGCAAAGGATCAGGAACATAATGTGCTGGTATAAATGGCAGCAATCACAAAGCCATGCTTTGGTGTCTCTTAAAAATGCTTTTTAAATGAAGTTTAAAAAAAAAATGAAGAAGGGCAAAGGAAAGACGAACTTAATTACAAGAAATAAGCTCAGTCACACAGTAGTTAATGAAACATAGCTGTATAGGTTGTTTAAGGCACCCTTTGACTATCTGATTTGAGAGGGGTAGGATAAGCAATTGTACTAGTCCAAGCACTCACATGGCTAATTTCATCCTGTTGAAATGTCAGAAATTGCTGGGGAAAAAAAGATGCTTCTCTGCCTGACTGAAAAATTTTGAAAACACCCATGTTTTGTCTTGGTAGATGCTGCAAATAATAATGCAAGTAATTAATAATTTTATGCAAACACATTGCCAAAAAAATCACTTTTCAGGGATCAGGTCTTTCACTGGTACCAGCTAGTACAGTTCTATAGATTCCACGGTACCAGCTCAGAATCTTACACAATATAAAACCACAGAGCAAAAAGTGCTTTTAAAAATAAAAAAATAGCCTAAGATCTGGTAACAACAGGCTGACAGTCATTCTCAAAAATAAACAGGAATTTGAACTCAGCAGAACCCGGAGAAAGGAATAAAGTAGAATGTGGTTCTAGGTGTTGAGATGAAAAATGAGTAATTACTGTCCAGTATTCCTTTCAGTTACATACATATAGTTGTTCCACTTTATCATCTCAGGGTAGCAAACACAAAAACGAAGCTCAAATTTGCTTTCAAACCAAGTATTAAAAATAAATTTTCCTCTTCTCTCAGCCAAGGCTTTCAACAGCGTGTGCACAATACTGCAGTGCCTAAAGAGTATTTTAAATACCACTTGGATTGTGGAATGAGCATACTTAGTTTAACATTTAAAATACTGATTGAAAAAGTATGAAACACTTTTTAAGTATCTAAGCCTTCAGATAGCCAACTATCTGTGTATTTGCACCTGAACATCCCAAATTGAGGTTCTACTTCTGTCCAGTCACCTTCTCTTTGAATAACAGACATGGGTTAATTCTCTTCTTCTGTTACCTTGACACGCTTGCTTTGGTGTTTCATCTCAATACTGCATTACCACATAACATTGATCTTCCAACAATTTTTACCATTCTCAGAGCTGGTCATGCATCAGGCATACCTGTGCAAGTTCTTTTATCTATCACACCTATTCTTCTTCCTGAGTTCATATGCATTTGTGACAGCTTCCACTCAGCTTTTTTTATAAAATAACTCAATTCTTATTAATTCTATTTTGTTTGTTTCCTCACTCTCGCTCTCTCTCCTCATACTCTTCTGGCTCAATTGTCTTCTTTTATTAACATTTACAAATATCATGGGTGTGTATATTGGTGAGGAGGAGATTTTTTTGCCAGTCTGACAGATGCAAAGATATACAGCTGATTTCAGTTTTCTTTCACTCTCCTGCAAAGCTACTCATGAAATATCCCCAGTACAGATGCCTATACTGAACCGGGTTAGAAGGGATCTACTTGTTACGTTTGCTTCTGGATTATTTTCACCGATTTTAAGTTATATTCCAAAAGACTTCTCATTGAAAGATCACCGGACTGTTTCTGATGCTTCTGCTCCCTTAGATCTTACCACTTAGTTCTGCCCCTGACTGCATAAGTGTCTTTCCTTTCTCTTTTAAATCCTCTCTCAAAACCTTTTACTTTTATTCCACAGCATTGTTGTTTTTAATGATTTCATGCCCTTGTTTCTGCCCTTGTTTTTATTTGCTGTGTTACACCATATAAAAAACATGTTGCCAGAGAAAAAGAAGAATGACAGATTTTGAAGAATATGTTTTGTAGCTAGTCTTGAAATTAACCTAATGGATATGAACAAAGCTTAAAAATTAAGTACTTGAGACTTCTAGCGGCAAATTTTAGAAGATATTCTGAAAGCAAGTCCCTTGCTAATATACATCAGCTGGATACGCCAAAATCACAGTCATGAAGGTACCCATTGATTTAAATGCTCCATGGGATAAATCAGTATACTCCACACATGGAAGGAGTAGAGATGGGTTTCCATTATCCTCCTCAGGATCAGAGGAGAAGAATTAGTCTAATTTAGTACAACCTCTAGCTCAACTTGGAACACAACTCTAAGCTCCTGGATTGTGTTACGATTGAAGGGGACCATCATGCTGGAGCACATTTCAGTCGAGACTTCCTTCAAAAATCTCCCTTTGCCAGGGCATGGAGGGGGACTGGCATCCAGACAGGGAGGCTGTCTGTGTGTCAGGGAGACATTCCTTCATGAAACAGAACTCCTCAACTGTCCTAGAAAGGCAATATTAATTTCATTTTGCACTATTCAATGACACAAAAGGATATTAATGGACTAACGTTTGATCATCTATTTTTACAAATGACGAGGATTGGATTCTTCTAACTTTGTTCCAAGTTTGAACTCACTTTGATCTAAAAGTCATCACAGAACTAGTGCTTCTTTTAAATTTTCCTTGGAAACACAGTTTTACAGAACTTTACAAAATGGAATACACACACACAAAAAAGGATGGACATTATAAAAAGTTTTTTTCCAGAAATGAAAAATGTGAATGGTGGAAGATAAAATTGCATGCAAAATGTAAGTGTTCTACTCTTTAGTTTGTCAAAATTTAAGACGTTGCATTAATATGCTTTAAAAACACACAAGGAACCCATTGTAGGACTAATTCATTGCTTTCAAGGCTTACAACAGTAAGCAGGAAAAGGCTACACTAAAAAACAGTTAATAACTGGGGACGTGTCTGTTACTCTATTTTGTATTCTCCTGTCTTCTCTAATGTGATAGGTCTTTAAGTATTAACCCAACCAGGGAGGAGATGGTCGTAAACAAGCTGTCAAGCATAACTAAGCCATTGTTTCTGAATCTTTTAATAAATGTATAAATGCAAAGTTGGATCATTTGTAGTAATAAGGTGCACCATTTAGGCCGTATTTGTTTCCATGGTTATCAGCACAGACTGGAACGCTGTTCCTTGCATGGCTTGGTGGTACAGGGTAAAGTCATACTCATGCAAGTAGGAGGCTCTGTAAGCTTGAAACTTTACGAGGTGGTAGTATGAGAGAAGAAAATCAATTTTGAAATCAACAATTCAGCAGAACACAAGACTGACAGAACAATCTTTGCCTACTGAAACACAGAGATGATGTGGTGAATCAAAGAATAAATAATCTGTCTTCCACTTGAGAACAAATGGAAAGGCAATTAAATAGACAAATGAAGAACAGATGACAAACTAGAGATAATATCCCAGCAGCTCAAATTCCACTTCAGTTCATGTATATAAATCTTCGTCTTTCCTGGCTCTGGGCAACTCCTTATTCCTTGTCTGGAAGCTCCTATATCTCTTCACTGATTACACAGAGGAGCTTTGATGGAATTCAGGCAACTCAAATACAGCCCAGGGAGCCTACGAAAACATTCTGCACAGCAGAGATTTTCAAGTTTTTTTTTGTATGGGAGAGCAAATTACATAAGAGAGGTAATTTCAAAGATCATCATCACAACATCCATACGACACCAACAATAATTGCTTAACTGAAAATGCTAATATTGTGAAAGTAATTAATGTGTTTTACATGCCTATACGAAAGGAAACCACAATGTTAAATAGTCAGCTCTCTGCAGGTGATCACATAGCATGGATTTTGAGCTTATATTTACAGTATAAAAGAGCTGTACTGACTACCCCATCCCATGAATAAAGAGACCTGTGAAGCTGATTTTCCTAACAATTTCTCTCTCAAAACCCTCTTCATCCTCTGATGTCTAAGAAGTGAGTTCATGCCAGTCTTTTCTTCAAAGTAAACACAGGCTTTCTCCATCTCTGTTCTGTACTGATGGTTATTTTCTCCTAAATTTGTAGAAAGTTAGTACCTTTGGAGTCCCTGACATATGCGGTTGAAATTAACTCAAAGACTGAAAATTTATTAAGGTGCACAGTCACATATATGCAGTTTCTTAAGCATTGTTTCCATAGGAAAACATGAGTATACATACCTACAAAGAAAAATCTCATACATTTCAGGGGCTAAACAACAAGCATTTTCAAAAGAGCAGATGCAAAGCATTTATGTTGCTTCTGATTTAGACACACAAATACACTATGTATTTATGCTGGAGTTTAATACAAAAACCATGCAACTCCTCCTTCATGGGTTAAGCAAGGTATTGGCACAGCATGTGCATTTTACATGCCCTGTTATTCGACCTTACACACACACACTAAAAAACCCCAACAATAAACTAACAACTTGGTAGCATCACAAATGAATGAACGGGCTCAGCTACATTTATGCACAGTCACTATTTGAATAAACAGAGCAAAAATACACAAATCCATAACTGGCAATTGAGAGAGCAGTACACAAATCCTGTTGTCAAAATAGCATACCTTAAACCTTCATTGAAAACATTTTGGTTTTAATCTGTCAAGATAAACAAATAATAATTAAGCAAGTCACTTTGTATTAATACACCACCTACCCCTGTCACTGTGCATCAAACTATGATCATCTTAATGCTACTCATTAGTAAACTGCGTGTTAGCTTTGCACTTTGATACAGATTGTTTCCTTACCAGCTGCCAAGGTTTGCCCCTTGCCTGGCTCACTGGTTACACAACCGATTTGATTGCAGAGAGTAACAGTAAAGTTGTATGTCCTGTAAGGTTTTAATCCCGTCGCTACATAGGATAGCTCATCAGCCTCAGCTATATGAAAAACCTGCAAAGCAGATTGGAAGACGACAGTTGGCTAACAATATTTTCATTCCTATTAACTGATGACATGTTCACTAATAAGAAACTTGTCTCTGAATTTGCAGATTCCTTCATTTAGATGTGGAAAAGCCTGCAAAGACCAACTGAGGGAGAGAGCTATTTTGGAGAATCTGAGCAAGCGAGGATTCAGGTGGTAATACTTCCCATCACACTGTTTTATGAGGTAATAAGCCAGTTCCTGAGTGGATAAATGAGGAAACAAAGTTATTGCCTCATAAAACTGTGTGGTGGTGCAGTTATCACCACAAACAGTGCAGCTACAATCCCGATGACGAAGATGACACTATTAAGTGGTGAAATCTGACCACCATTGAATGAGTGACATGATTAGTGGGCATTAGGAGGGAGGGGAATAACTAATACCTACAGATAGTTGAATCTGCTTTACTTTACCATTACTTTATGCTATCAGAGAGAGCGGAACTGAATGAACTGTTGCATTTTAGATAACTTCTCTATCAGATGTTTATCTAGATGAAAAATCTTGCAATCCTGCGACAAGAAGCAATTTACATTTACATATTGTTACAACAGACCTAGGAACAACAGCATCCCTGCTGCACAGACAAATAAACTGAGGACAATCTGTGGTACCCACTAAAAGGCAAAATCAGCTCTGAAACAAGAAACACAATGTCAGAGCACCAGATGCACTCTCATATTCTAATTACCTATCATGTTTCTTTGCTCGTTCCTAAGCTTTTAGCTTACCACTACTGCCATATTTGCCTAACCCAGTCATTCCAAAACTGCAACAGTACTTTAAAATCACATATTTAGACTTTATAAAGTTGGCTTTCTGCTATTTTAGGTTTCCCCACTTCAAAGATTTGTCCATTACCCAGGAAGCCAGACAGGTACCTTCTTAATGAAAATGCAGATTCCTACAAAACAACATGGCTTTAAGCATATCAGCAAATATAGCAATAATAGAGAATCAGAACATGCAAAGATCAAGGCAATTTAAATGGTGTTGCTCAACCTCATCCCCCCTAATTTTGAATCTCACCCACTACTGAATAATAACTACTGAAAACAAGTCAGCTCAGGAATACAACTTAAAACCTGAAAGTAGTGTACATTACAGCGCACTCAAGATAAACTGATAGGTGAAAAACTTAGATCAGAAGATATATAGCAAATCAGGGAAATGATTTATCACAAAGTCAAGGAGGACATCAGATTTTATTAATTATACCAATTAGGAAAAACAATGTAACTTAACAATAATACCTGGGAAAATGGTGGCAAGAACCTTTGTTCTGTCATCAGACTGATGCTGTATCCCATCACTTCTCCTCTTGCTAAATTATCTTCAGGTTTTTCCCATGACACATTGAGGGAATATGGTGAAAGAGGGAAAACTGATGGAGATGGCATGAACACTGGCGCTAAAATCAAATTAATATAATAACATTCATAAAATGAGAGCAATGTGTGTAATGCAAGCTTTCTCACTGTATTTGCAAAACACCATTTCAGAGAGTCTTTTTTTTTTTAATCTTATTTTCAAGTCTAACAGGAATTTTCAGACTATTTTGATAACACATAAAAAATACCTCACCTATCATTTTCTCGATTTCTACTCTGGCCACGAATGCAGAATAAAACTCTGCCTATGTCTTCAAAGAAATACTAATCAGCACTGAAGTCCTAACCTCTGTAGCAGGTAGGAAAGTACATACAAATGAAAAAGTCTTGAAGAAAAACTTCATGCAACCTGGGAAAAAACTGATAAAAGCAAAAAGCGTTCAATACTTCAGCATCTTAAAAGCAATTTTGTTTGCCAGGTCAGTTTGAAATTAACATGTCTCTCACTTCTTACAAAACAGTTCCCCTGTCTTCCATAGTAAATCTGTAAAAGGATTGTTTGCACTGCAGTTAAATCCCCACCTGATTACTCTGTAATAATAGGATACCAACTCATAGCACTTCTGCTACGTACAAACAACCACCCTAATGGACCTCTTCCCAAACACAATTTAACACTTTTATAACATATAGTATTTAAGAACAGATAAGCACAAAGACTCATTTTGAAAGGGGAATTAGTTCAGCCTGCTATTTTGCAGGAGCAAATGACTGAGGACAAGATTCTCAAGCTACCAGCAAACAAAAGCATCAGTGATGTACAGAGATGTTTAATTGCAAAACACAGGCCCTTAGATTTCTAACGTAAGCATTGAAAAAAATAGCTTTTATTTCATATGTCAAGTGGCAAGCCCTTTTGAAAATCTGAACAGAAAAGCCATAATAAGAGCCGTTGTGAACTGGTTAAATTGCTGGAAAAAAATGCTCTATATTATGACACTCGGCCTTCATAAAAACATATGAAAAGTTTTAAGCACTACACTCCTGAAAAGGCAATCCTCCCAAGTTCTTCCAAGAAATTGCTTTCTAAGCAATTGAAGCCTCAGTTCAGGAAAACTCATTTGAACTTCCTTCCTGAATATATGTGCCTTCTTGGACAACATTCCTGATTCACATCAACTGTTAACACATTCATGACAAAACCAGTCTTTTTTCACATTTTTCCCCTTAAAGAACATATAATAACAGCTGGGAAAACTGTGGAGAATTCAAACACTGCTTAGTAGATTTGCAAACTTGTGGTTTTGAAATTTTGGTTTAATTGACAGGGATTATATTCTTCAACACGATTTTTGTGGTGAAGAAAATGTTTTTGCTCAGCATGCTAAGTTCTGAAATTATAAAATTTTAAATTAAAAAATAAGAATTTGTCCCTATTTGAATCATTTCCAGACACATTTTATTGAAAAAAAATTAAGAATGCATTTTAATTTAGTTTTTCCTTTGATTTGTATCAAAAAAAATTCAAACCAATACTTACCAGCCTCTCCTGTTCGTCCTGATGCCCAGTCTGAAGATATGCTACCTGCCATGTTTACTGCTAGCACATAAAATTCATACTCTGTGAACGGCTCCAGACCAGTGACTGCAGTACTGGTCTGCGGTGGAGCCAGGGCATTTTCATTAGGAGACTCCATAACCGGTTGAGGACTGAGCCATCCACTGCTTTGGAAAATACGGATTTCAGGAGGAAGAATGTTCTCAGCTGTTTTTAATTTTTTTCTCATGTAAAGTTCATATCTTATAATTATGCCTAGACAAAAAAGTGAGCCAGAAAAATTAGTGTATTTAAACAATATTTTCTAAAATACCAACAACAATATATTTAATGAGCAAACAATCAGTCAATCAACACCATAGGAAACAGAGCATAGGAAGTTTTCCTCATTTCTGCTATTTTCATCCAAATGCTGACTGTGGTATTTCTTGCGTTATACTGTTTACTGTTTATTTTCCCCTCCATGCAATTTTGGGAATTGAAAACATATGGCTGGATTACAGTATCAGTTCTTTCATCCTCACCGGAAGACCATATCCTAAAGTTCTGACCGGAAGTTACTGGAAATTACCTTGGCCTCTGATTTACAAAGGGATGTTTATTTTTGTTTGTTTGTTTATTTATTTATTTTTACAAAATGGGTAGGGAATTTTTGAGTGACAGTTTAACGTTAACCTTTTAGAACATACTACTGGATAGGAGATACGTGTGTGTCAGTTTTCCATCAATGTAAACCTATTACATAGGCAGGAAGTTGTCACCACTTTGGAAAAAAAAAAAATCCCTTCAATATTGTTGTATGAAGTGATACATGATCCAGGTTGGATAATGGAAGCAGCTTAACTGTAGGAACAGAGTGTAAGAAAGTTGACTGAAGATTTCCCAAATGGAAAAGATGAGAGACATAGCAAAGCCGCAAGATAGTTAATTATCATATAAGGAATATATCTGGGGCTGTACTCATGCACAGAACTGGAGAAGTGGTTTGGGAGAAAAAGCTTCTTTCTTTGTTTTTGGAAAGATCAGGACATCTGACCAGACAAAAGAAATATAAGAACATTGCTTAAATCTGCCTGTGCTGGCAATTACATGCACGCAATAGCTATGAAATTACCTACGAAGAGTCCATGCTGCAGGTTGAAGGACAAGTACTAATAAAGTATCATGAACTGCCCCTCTAGATACATACAGGCATTCTTGTGCAGGCATTCTTCCTGTCTAAGCTGGTAATAGCTAGCAAAGAAGACGCTGAAGAGAAAACTGAGCTCCCCAGACACAGATGACCATTTTGTGAACAGATCAAAATGCTCATTTTCATATGCACAAATGTTTGTGCATGTAAGTGCAATTTCACAAATCTCCATTGCACATATATTAAAAGATAAAGCGCTTACTAGTAAGATCTGTGGCACCACAAACGTATCCTACAACAGCTGCATTCTCACTTTCAAAAACCTACAATATTATTACGCAAGTTAGACCAGCAACTCTTGGCAATCGCCTATTCCCTAACAAAGTTATACTGGTAATAGAATTAGTTACTACACATGACGGATGGTTTTAAAAACAAACTTCTCTGTTAATTCTTAGGGGTTTTTTTTTCCATAACTTATTGGCTTATTTATTCTTTGTAAGGCAGTATCACCACATCTGTCTGAACTAGGTGATCTGGAAAATTAGGAAAAAATTAATTTTACTGTAAATGTTTAAGTATAAATGTGATTTTTGCTGCAGCAGATGCCACGAAGGGCTAAATCCTGGACCCAGCACATTCAGTTGGAGTTCTGGACTCCAAAAGAGTAAAACACAGACTCTGAGGATACGTTTAGTGGCACACAAGCACATTAAGACAATGTCTTACTTCATTCTCAGTTTACGTCACAGGGATAAGGATATTCTAACCATATTTGAGAAAGTGCTGCTTTTTCTTCATAAAATCTTTGACTTATAAAAGTAAATACAGTGTCCTACCATTCGGTTTCTCAGGTGGTGACCATTCCACAGCCAGTTCTGTAGAGCTGATGGTTTCTATCATTGGTGGGTGTAGCTGTTCCGGAGCAGCTTGAGCAGTAATTACTGTTACTGGCTGGCTCTTTAAGCAGCCTCCACTAGTACAAGCTTGCACAGAAAAAACATACTTTGTAAATGGAATGAGATTCCAAATATTTGCTGAAGTTTTTAAGCCTTCATATTGACCACAAGGCTGAAGATCAGCCAAGCTAGTACATGTCAAAATGTATTTCTCTATGGGCCCAGAGTCATTGGAGAGGCTTGTCCAGTAAAGTAAAACAGAGTGATGACTAACAGGAAAAACAGGATTTAAATGCAAGCTTCCTGTAGGGGTCCCAGATTTTGTTCTGTATGTCACTGAGGCACTTCTTGTAAAACCATGAATGTTATTAGCTTGGACATAATAGGAATAGAAGGTATATGGAGATAACATGGTATCAGTGAAGGTCTGAACACCTAAAACAAACAAGTGAGAAGAAAATTGTATCATTCTAACACATTACAAATAATCTTAACGTGCATACTTAGAGACTTTCCAGCCCTGATCCAAGATGTAAGGTATTTATGCCCATTTGCATGCTCTTCTCGAGATGATTATGAACAATGCAATTTCTTTTTTTTTTTTTAAGTGGGAAAAAAATCCCTCCCTGTTTCCCTTTATTATCTTCCACTGCACATTGGCATCACTAGCGAAATAATTTTTCCACTGAATTTCTCCTAGTTCCTGCTTTAATCATGAACAAGATTAATACAATTATCTTTATTTCTCCTTTGCTTGGAAATAATTATTTCAAATATAAATCAACATCGATTTTGGCGGATCTGATTTAGAAAAAATCCCAAACCAGCCTTTAAATTTTCACACCTTTGTTTTTGATTCATTTCCTAGCATAAGACCAAATATTTCACCTTTCTGTGCTCTCACTTCCTCACTTCTAAAATAGTGCTTAATAGTAATTTGTAAAGCATTTGATCTTGGATGAAAAGTGAAATAGAAGTGCAAATAATTATTAAAAATGTGTATCTGAAGCCTATATTTATATTCCTCACCCCTTACTTTCCATTATTCTAGATGGCTTTTTAGCAGCCATGATCATGAATAGCTCCTGAGAATATCCCAGAAGCAGTTACACATTTAGTAGTCACAGAACAAGATTAATTTACGTACAACCATACCACCATGCATTATTTTTCCTTAAGAAACAGTGAACTTTGAGTAATACATTACACATCAGAGCATGGATACTCTTAAACCTTTTTTTAAAGCAAATGGAGAGGACACAGCTATTTTTAAGTCCTCTGTGTACATCTGCACTTGCAAGCTAGGCCTGAGTACAACTTAAAGAAGAGGACCACGAAATTCTTAGTATTGCTAGATATTCAACCCTTGACACTGTAGTACAAAAGCAGCAGTGTCAGCCCAGTAACTGCCTACTGTGCTTCAACTACCTATAGCAATCACAAACTTATCACTGGAGTCCAGCAATAAGGAGGCTGGGGAATCTCATCTTCATGCCTTTCAAACCCTGGTACTTCAGGCAAGGTTGTGGAATGGCTCTGCCAGCAGCACCGACGGCTGTTGCGACATCCTTGTGCATTAGTAGTGAGCAGCAAAGTGATGCAGTAGATCTCAGTCTTGCCGGCGAGATTCAGCTGTTTCTTCTTCAGCTTTCAGGTTAGCATGCTGTTCGCAACTGCAGGTGCAAGTACTTGAGTGTACTCTAGAATTATTGAGCCTTTTTTGAGCTGCATGGACACAGCAGCCCTGGCTGAAGTGCTTCTGGGCACAAGAGTGAATACCAAAGCCAGCTGGACAACTGTTAGAGAAGACTCACAGACAGGCTGGCAAGAATCCTCAGAGTGGGAGTGTGACAACTAGTTGCTGTGAAGGACACTGGCAAGTAGGGGCTTGCTATGTGCAGTTTCCAATTTCGTCTCCAGAAAAAAAGAATGGCCACAGAGGCAGAATGAGTCAGTGTGCTAGAAACTTGGGAGAGCTGTGCTTTATAGGGTGATAGGATTCCCATCCAAGGGGCCTTCAACTCAGAGCAGCCACAGAGAAGGAAAAAAGCACACAAGAAAGAAAAAAGAAAAAAACCCCAGCGAGACTGCTATCATCAGCAGCAAGTACCACAAATCCTCATGAGATGACAAAACACGAGTACCCTCTGAACTAGAGAAGAACCCTCCCTCTCAGGTAATCTCTGTTCTAGAACCGTATGTTGACCTGGAACCTGATCTAGAACCATCAAGCAGCCAGAACCCATCTAGAGCCAACAAGTGAAGATGCTCTGGAACCAAGTAATAGTTCTGAACCAACAAGCAAGCTAAACCATGATCCCACTCTGGAACCAGCAAGTCTTCTGGAACCAAATCTAGAATGAACAAGTGAGCTAGAGCATTGTCTGGAGCCATCAAGTGAGCTAGAATGTGGTCTAGAACCAACACTTTAGCCCAGTTTGGAACCAATAGGAGCTAGACCATGATCTAGAACAGTCTCCCTACCAAACCACCAACTCCAGAATTCATACCTGCTCTAGAAACGACTGCACCAACAGCACCCTAGCTCTACAAACAACCAACCCCCAAACCCCAGCCCCTGGAACAGACCTGGACTCTAGGGCCAACCCAGACTCTAGGGCCCCAGGTCTAATGAAGACAGCAAGCATGTTACTCTCCGAATGCTGAAATTTTCTGCCAGGAAAATAACCAGCACTATCTCTGCATTACAAGAAAGTTCATCCACTATTGATGGACATCTGATCACCATATGGTAACTTCATTTCAATAGGAATATAGGCTAGATAAAATTGGATAAAGCCAGGAGGTAGAAGGTTCTACACTCCTCAAGCGAACAGTTCCACCACATATTTAGCTACATTTATAAATAATTGGAATCAATGTGATTTGCAGTTAGAATTGTAAGTAACTTTTGTGTTTCTTTGCATCTTAGAGTAAATATTTTACTTTGTCCTGAAGACAAGTATTGGCATCTCCTGACGCTCTGGTTTCCCAGAGCAGTTAGGAAAACATTGTTTTAACTGGACATTCCGCAATACTATCAGTCAGATCACCAGGCTGATTTAGAAGATTATTCTAAAATTTCCTTGGGAAGCTCAATGTTTCTATAAAATTTTCATTTAGCCATAAGATAATGTTCATCCAGTTGCACTCTCGGGGCGTTTCATAAGCATTACAAATTCCACACTATACTGCAAAAAAAGTAACATTATAAAAAGTTCTGACAGTATTAACAACATATTCTTGATATTGAAACACCAGCAGATGATTTCACATCATTAGTCAGGGAGATCGCCAGGAAATGTCAAAAACATCTTCTGAAACCAAATCTATGTTTTTACAAAATAATGTTTTGTTAAATAGAAACATGCACATGACACACAGCTAACATTCAGAATTTTTTGCTCTCTACAAAGTATTTAGGTACAGTCATTAAATAACATCCTCAACAACGCACCCAGTTTCAAGTACATTACAGAGCACAAATTTATGACAACAAAGTATAATAGGTTTTCTTTTGAAATCAAATCATATTGTTACTAAAGTTAAGCTTTTAAACCAAATTAAGGAATTGGAGTATCTTCTATTAGCTCTCTAAACTTTGTTGTAATGTTTCTTTCTCTCCTCTCAATCACTTAATCCCATGCCTACATAGGGTCGTACACCTTTCTTCATGGTATGTACTGCGGGGTGTCCAAATTCACAACATAAGCCATAGACTTATCAACAGTAACGCATCAGCATGCATCAGAACACAAAAATTTTAGGTGCATTCCCAAGGATCTGTGCTTTCACTGAATGATAGTCTCTCTTTTTTTCCCCTCCAGGGTGCATGCCAATAATTAGAAAGACTCAACTTCTGCAAAATATTAATGCTGCACTGGTATGAAAATGCAACAAACCAAAGAAGCTTCTAGAATAGAAATCCAAACTTCATGGCATTAAATCACACCCATTGTCTTAAAACACCACTTGTGTGCCATATATACATAAAACTGGTACCCAAATCCATCTTCTTTTCTTTGATAAGAAGATCAGTAGTAGCACATAATGGCCCCTCCAGTTAGGACAGAGTGCCGAATCCTTGAGGACTGCCTTCTGAGGATCCCTTTGCAAGCCTCAACATGAGAGAAGTGGTGCTGCTAAAGACAAATCAGGAACTACACTGATAGCTTAACAGAAGGTGCTAAAAGTTAGAGATCACAAAAAGCTTTCCTAATCTGTTAACAGTTTAAAACCGGGAGGATGAAAAAAGCGAGTTTAAGCACATAATGGCCTCTTCTATTCAGTCTAGTTCTTTCTCTGGGAATTTGCCTCTTTTAGATTTTGGAGCCTGTGTAAATTTGCAGGGAGTGCTTCTGGCGAGTCTTGAAGTTTTTCAGATTAAAAGTAAAAAATTATCAGCTGTTTGGGCGATTCAGTTTGCCAGATTTTAGACTGGAGTACTCATTTCTTTCAAACAAAATTAGTAACACAGAATAGTAACTCACTAAAGGAAAACAGAATAATGTATTCAAAACCACAGCAAACTATAATGACAGAAATGAGAAACAATTACAAAAAATTGCACATATATGTAGATATGTACACACACACAAAAACCCACAAAATCTTTGATATTATTTTCCTATAAATACTTACTATAAGGGTAGTAGTCTTCAGTTGTATAAATTTCAGCCTCATCCCTATACAGCTGGTAAGTAAGGCTGTTAGAATTTGGAGAGTCAGGGGAACTCCATGAAAGACTGATAACAGAGGAATTGAGAACCTCTCCTGTAGGAGGAGGTTGCTGGAATGGAGCTAAAACACACACAAAAACAGAAGGACGTAAAAATGAAGGTAATCGATAATCACACAAATTAAAAAAAAAAAATGCAAACAAACTGTAAAGTTTTCTTCAGAGAAAAACTGCTGAGTAAACATACAGTCACCCAGGCAAGACATCAATAGACTAAACTGCTCCATCCAAATGCTCTCCAACAAAGCTTTTTATCCAAGTACAGGTTTATACATTTAAACCAAGGACAAATTAACTTAATCCCCCTTTCTGCCCTATATTAAAGCAAGTACACCACAGTTTTCCAAATATTTTTTTTTTAATTTATTTCAAGACCTCTATAAAATGGGAATAAATTTATCTGGTCACATTATTAAAGTCTATAGTTCAATTATAATTTATTTTTTCAGAGGATTCATTCCATTTTAGCATAAGCCAGGCATAACTTCCTCTAACAGAACAGAAATGGAAAGTCCAACTAACTACATATTTCACTGAAATGTTACAATAAGCCAACTTAATTAAATGACAAAAAACATAAAGGGGCAAATTTTGAAGGTTATTTAGGCAATTCACTTCCATTTGTTTCCAATGAAATTTAAGTCAATGAGAGTGAAGTGTCTAACATTTTAAGAAACCAACTTGAGATTCTTATTTACCAAAATTCTACTCTGCTATCACCTCCACTGACTTTGGAAAATGTGCTACTTAATTGCACTAGTATCAATAAAGAGAAAAACAAACCTGAAGTTTACAAGCCAAAGTCTCACATTTAAGCAAGAGCAGTCAAAGTCCCTCCTATGTCTCTTTTGTAGTCCAACTATACAATCATGGTCCTTTCCAAGATAACGGCTATTACTCAGAAATTAAACTTTATATGCATATACAGATATGCATATATACAAATGTGCACACAAACATATGGTTTTATGGTTGGACTCTACGATCTTAAAGGTCTTTTCCAACCTAAATGCTTCTATGATTCTGTATTTATGTTATTATTCAAGTCAGAGTATGAGTCCATATCCTGCTATGAGATCTCCAGGCTGCCTGGTCTACTAAGCAAAGCCCTACTCTCTGACTCTCAGCACACCGTGCATTAGCTGCCTGTTTTGGCAGCTAGTAATCCCTACAGCTTGACTCAAAGGCAGACTGTGCCACTTCCCTACCCTGTTTACCAAGGCAGGGAAAACCAGGGGACCACAGATCTAGAAGAAAGAATTTTGCTCCAGTAATGAGAATAGCCGAAGGCAGTACAGAAAGCAGCATACGGAGTAAGTTATCAGGAGCTGGATCCGAAACCACTCAGTAAGGTTTTCTCCCTTACATTAAGCGTTACAGGAAAATATCAACATTAGAAGCATGTGACTTTCCCTTAACTTTTTCTCCTTCTGTTTATAAACTATCACCATCTTCATTACATGGATATTGGCTTAATATACACCATTCACCAAAAGTTAATTATCAAAATCTGTTCAGCCAAGCTAATGGGAGGCAAGAAGCAAAGAGTGAAGTTGTAGACAGAAAGCGACATGAGGACCTCAAGCCACGCAAGTGATAGATGTAGAGACTTATGCCAACAGCAGTGGATCACATGCATATGGGATTTTAATACAAATCTAAACCACAAGTTGTAGCGTTTGATTTAGAGTAAGATAATGAAAAGCCCTGCTCCTGCTGCAGTCTCTCAGCCAAGAAACAGCAGAAAATATTTCTGGAGTTCATTGGATTTAACAGAACACATAATCATCGTCTCCCATTAGAAAGCATAGGTTGTTTTGCTGCCAATCTAGAGTTAGGATGTGAATGTATGCTAAAATGTCTACAGGAGTAAAGTTTGAGAATCAAAGGAAATAAATGCTACCAAATCCCTTTGGCATTTTTTGAAAGTTTCTCTTCATGTAATACATGCTTACAAGACCTGAGCAATCATACAAATTTACCAGCATTACCTTCATTCTCCATTCTTAGTCTCACACTATTGCATATGCTCCCATGTGTTTGTTGTTTTACATTTTAGATGTGTATGCAAGTACTGTATTTCAGATTTTTTATGGAGCATCAAAGATATTGTCGGGTAGGAAAATTGAAAATAGGTCTTTTCCTTAAACAATGTTAGTTGGACAGTGACAGCAACTTATGTTTGCTTCCCTTGGCAAAGACTTACAACCAGTAATGATGCATGTCAAAAAAATACTGTGTTGCAATTAAAATAACCACAAATATCAAGGTAGGCAAAGCTCCATTACTCTGCAACAAGTTAAAATATTTTGACATGAATAACCAAAAGACTGCAATTGCCGTATCATTTATGTCCAGAAGAGGACTCTGCTTGTCATTTTGAATACTGCCTGATGTATTTTTTCTAACTAAAATCTATTATATTATTTATCCATGTCATATTATTAATCAATTTTATAGTTGAATTGCCATTGACCTTTATCCAACGTATATCCCAACATAAATAAGTAGGTTGGTTTATGTTTGTAAAGCACTTTGAAGATGAACAGCATCATAAAAGTGCCATGTATTATTATTATTCACCATTCAGTCGAAACATCCTACATTTTTTAAAGAAACAACAAGCCAATCAACTATCTGGACAATGAATAGATACTATGCCTTCTACAGAAGAGTACAGGGAAAAACAAAATTGTGTCTAAGCATTTTCAAACTTTGAGAAAAAGATAATATTTGGAAACAAATCAGTCTCTTCATTTTACCCCATTTATAGCACTGTGCATTCTGTAATACATATTGTTTGAAATTTAAACTGATTTACATTGAAATACAAACTGGAATGAACGTGAGAGCTGTCTGTCCTTGTAAACCAGCTCTTTGTGCGTGTACATCTCTGCTTGCAAATCTATAGTGTGCATATATCACAATGATGAATGCCATACAGATATCTACGCAGAATACACAAATATTTTGTTGAAAGAGGATCCAGAAACATACTCCAAAGATCACTTGGGAATGTCTAACCCTGTCATTGCATTACACGTGGCTACCTGAGCTAACTCGCACAGTAGGACCACTGTGGCCATTACTAATTAGGCCTGCTAAGATAAATGACCAACTAGCATCTCCAAAGTACCTCATTCACTGGTTACATGACTTCCCAGGCTGGGCTGTTCACTGCATATGGCAGTAAGGTGAGTCACAAAAATGTAACACAACTTTTCCAGAATTAGCTGAGGTCATACCCATAGTTTGGCATTCCACTGTATGATGTCCTCACAGCCATTTCTGAACACTGACCTGAAGGCAACTTCAAAATTTAATTTTCTTACTACATATCATATTTTTCCTCTCCTTATTTAAAATCCCCACCAGCTTAGTGACTATGCACTGGTGAGCAAATCTGAACATTCAGTTTTGACTACTTATGACACAAAGTCTGAAATTGTGCCATCTCTTCATATCCAGACTCACTACCATAGAAGTGCAGATGTTCCACTGCAATGTGTTTCATTATAACTCATTATCTGACCCCATCAACACAGCATTAGCCTCACCTCACACACACTGATTTACGATGCTCTATTACACCCCATTACGTATTTTTCCAAATTGACAAAAAAAAAAGCCTCAGGAGGAGAAAGGCAAAGCTACATTGCACTGAGGAGAGGATTTTGACTTAATCACCAGGAGCAGGTCTTCAACAGACCTTTTGAAGACAGGTCTCTTGCCTCCTGTCAATGGCAGGAAAGGGGGCTAAGCTGTCAATTGCACAAATACTATTGCATTTGTGTGTTTAAGAGGTGAACTCTGCACTGGTCACTACAAAGAAAATGGTGGGAAGTGCAAGGGAACTATGGGCCATTACTTCCCCCTGGGTTAGACTGCAAGCATAGGCTGTGCATATGGCATGAAGCATTCTGTACATCTCTCTAGAAAACACTCCTAAGATACTCTCAGTGAAAATCACCCAAACTTCAGGGACCAGAAATATGGGGGGGGAGTCAAACCCAGTTTTAGTACTGCTGACCTTATCTAATACTCTAATGCTCACTAAATCCATAAAAACCCCCGCATTAATTTGAAAGGCATGCTTTTAAGACCTAACATCCACTTACTTTTACTGCACCCAAATAGGTTGTGGACATCCAAATTACTAGCATCGGGAACGCAGTTGTCACATTTCAAGCCAGTCACAAATTGTTTACAAACACACTGTCCAGTAACAAGATGACAAGTCCCACTAATGGCTCCTGCAGGATTACAATTACAGTGCTGACATCTATAAGCAAAAACAAATCAAGGAAGTGATCAAAACACATTAACACTTCAGTTAAGCACAGTAGGGTTTTGTTTCAAAGATTCTTGGGTAACATAATCAAAAAAATCATAAACAGTTCAGTAGCCTGAGACACAGTAGAAAATCTATTAGCCTGATAAAAAAGTAGCTTACAAAAAAGGTGCCCATTATAAAAATAAACATTAACATCTCAATGCCAGAATAATATTCTAATTTAGATTAAAACTGCTTAGAATTAAAGAGGTTTTCATATATGGATCCATACATAAACCAGATAATAATGTTTGGTAATAACCACATTATGCACTCAGTCCTGCAACACTTACTTACACAACCTTTCTTGCAGTGCTGTAGAGTTCAGTGACACATGTGTAACTGGTTTCACAGGTTTCTGCACACAATATGCAACCTTCTTACTTAAAGAAAACTAGGCTTTTGTTGAAAAAGAAATCAATTAATAATTCATTGTTCACAAAGGCAACTTGAAGTTGAAAAAATAACATGCTGAGAATAAAGGAGAATGAATGTAGACAAAAATTGGGCGAAAACCCCCTCAGATTAAAACAGTGAAAGGAAACAAAATAGCAGAAATATGAATATTATAACAGAAAGCACATGGTCTTTGCAGCCCGATGGACAAAACTGAAAATAGCTAAAAATAATATTTAATTAAAATGTGTAAATTTAATTATTTTTTAATTAAAAACCAAAAAAATTAAAAGCATTGGTATCACACAAATGCCAGATTTCAAGTGTGTAAATCTCTCTGGCACCAGCAGAGTACTTTCAGGATTAATTTATGCTTTGGCTTTTGCATCTGAAACCTCTCGCGATCAACTTGATTTTCACTGGATATATTATTTCCCCACTGACACTCATTTATAGCAGGGATACCAATGTCAGATTATGCAAATATTCAAAGACTCGGAACATCTCAGAAGTCAAGCAAAGCAATGTTTTCCTCACCGCAAATACTGTTATGCTACCTCTTGCAATACAGACTGCCATTATTAGCCATAACAAAAAGTCAACATTGGCTAAAAAAACTTCGTACTTTAGATTTTAGTTTCACTGTATTTTAACTGCTGCAGACTAACAGACTTTTGAAAAAACATGGACTGCGAGAAATGTGAGACTGTACACTGCAGCGAAAATATACTGGGAAATCTAAATATCAGTCCCCTTGCCCTGAGCTGGAAAAGTCCCATTCTCAGGCATAAGCAACTTCAGCCTAGATGGAATCTTAAATTACTCCAGATGCCAGGCCCCATGATTATGAAGCAGCAAAAAGACCTTGGAGAAGTCCAAGGGAGAGACACTCATGCCATGTCCCCTTTGTTCTGCTAACCCTAAGAATAGACAAGAGTTGTTCATTTATATTTGGCTGATCTTTCCTTGGCCAGTTTCACCAGATCCGAGGAAATGGGTGGTAGTGCCTTTACACAAGTTACTTCATTTTTCCAGTCACCACCATCACCTTGGTCTATCTCTTTCTTTTTATATGAAGGCAGAAATAAAAGTGAGTTCAGTTATGTTTTAGGTATTGGATTTTTAACGCAAGGGATAGGGGAGGGTGGAAACTGTTTTCACATTAGGACATAAAATTCAGGTCAATAATCAGTGGAATAGACATTAAATGTGAGAGATTTTTAAACAAGTTTAAGAAAACTCTTCACATACATTTTCTGCCCATCACCGAGCTCTCTGTATTAGAGTTTCTTTACTCCACAGCAGCTCGTGCTGTGTGATCTCCTGGGTAATCATTCAACACCCTTAAAAAGGCTGATAAAAGCTAAAGCTGCAAAATAAGCTGCAAATTTGTTTTATGGACTAATATCCTTTTGGGAATAAATAAAACACATTCTCTCTTGGAAACCACTATACTGTAGTTTGCTCTCTTTTATAGTCAAGAGAAAAGGGCAATTTTTTCAAACTGTATTAAGTCTTTTCATCTGCAGACAGTGCATCCAAATCCCCCTTCAAATAAAGGTTTTGTTTAGACTACTTAAATGTCCTGACTGAAAAAAATGGTTTAGTTAGAGAAAAAATGAAGACAGAATTATTTGCTCAGTAAGACAGTACTTTATTATTTCATAATTTCGTTACATGATTATATTTAGTACATGAAGTTCAGTTGGGGGGGTGTTAACAAAAGTGTCTCAATAGATAAATAGTAAAAGATGAGCTTCTCTTACTGCTCCTGTATATTACTGCACCTCATGAATAGGGTTCAGAGTATTCCAGTTTTCACTGTCATTCACACACGAGACAATCAAACTCACATACACGTACAGTCCCAGTAATAGTTTTCAGTGCCTGGCAGGATGGGGCTGCTTCTTTCCACTTGTTGCATTTTCTTGTAGGACAAATGTAGGCTGCCTACCTCCACCTACAGCGCATTAGGCTCCAGATCCTGCAAACAGCAGCACACCTGTCATCGTACTCTGCTCCACAGGATTGCACGCTATATTTGAGTAATCACCTGCATCGTTTTCTTAAAGTGCAGAACACTAGAACGGGCTTTGTTGTTATGCATAGTTCTTGCTTTTCAGTCAGGATTAAGAACTGTCAATTAAGGATTTAAAAAAAAATAACTAATTCTTTGAAACTTTTAATCATGTAAGAAATATTTTCAGCATTTTTGTTACAAGTTATTACTTCTTCAGGATACTCCGAGTCAAATATATTTGAGTTTTATTAAAACAGAATTAGATATAATCAAGGAAAACAGAGTTTTAAAACACGGAAAGAGAAACGTCAAGGCCAAGATGAATTGCAATATTGATTTTGTGAGGATAAATGGTTTTTGTAATATTAATATAGAGAAACCTTTATTACATTGACTCTCTAGGTGCAGTTAGAGCCTCTCCAGCAATCTGTTTAAAATATTCATTTTTCATCCTTATGGGAAAACCTCACTTGCTAACTGGATTTCATAAACAGTAATCTGTCAAGATGTATATATAGATAAACAATTTGTGATGTTCATTGACCGGTTCATTATAGTAAACAACACAAAGGTAAAGCATTTCAAACGTGTACCAATGCCTACAACCGTTACAGATCTGTCAGACCACTGCAAACATCCAGTATCTCTAATTCTTTAATTGCTGAGGAAATTTTCCTGCTTCATTAGCTGAAATGCATTAAAAAATGCAGTTCCTGTTTTACCTCAAAACCCTCACAAAATAAATCAGTTCACATACACATTCCTCAAAGTGAGAGAATTTTAAAGCATCACAGTCCATGTGTCACAACTTTTGCTTCTTTTCTGCTATTGTGCCAAGACAGAAACATCTTTGCCACTACACATAGCTCACATCTATTTCATTCTGCAACCACAGAGTCCTTACAAGACACTTGAAGCAAGGATGGTTTAAATGACTTTGCAATTTTAGAGAGCAAGAAAAAGCATTTTAGTCTTTTTAAGAAGATATTAACAGTTAAAGAAATTGATTAAAATACATTAACAAGACCTGGATTATCACTTTCAGTGGACAACTGTTTCTGCCTGAGGAACAGAGGTACATTGCCCAAGTAGATGCTAACCAAAATGAAGCCAAGTGTATGCAACACAAGTTAATCATGTTAATGTACTACCGGAGCAGTCTTCAATACTGTCATGAGGATTAAGTAGTATTAAGGCATTAAAGCCAAGTGATTCAAAGTCCAGAACTGTTAAAACTTTCTATCTTTACAACAAGATCTGGATCTAGATGATTCTAGATATTTCCACATTTTGAATTTCAGAAGATAGATCAAAACACAGGTAGTCAAAGGCCAGTATCTAGTTCAGGAAAGCTATTTCTTAGCGCATACACAATCCTCTCTATCATCTGCTAAAACTGAAGGGGAGGGGGAAATCTATCCCAAGTAACTAAAAAAAATCATTAATAATAAGGAAAATATATTTAAAAGGGAACTTTAATATTACACAGGTTTTATTCCTTACCATCGGAAATAGCAGGAAGTGAAAACAGGAAGTCCTTATTCCTACAGATTACTTTATGGCCATTAGCAGATGCCTCTGTGACCCACAACAGTAAAAAATAATTACAAAAATCTCTTCATGAGTGACAGTAACATGAAAGTTAAAGTGAAAAATCTTCAGAATAATGTCAAATATATGCAAGATGACACTGATAATCACTGCCTAAAAGCATGCCTACCCCACACTAGCTGGGGGAAAGGAGCACGAGGAAGGGAATGTACAGATTTTGCTTCTGCCTGTGGTTTTGCTTTTTTGTTTTTTTACGGCAAAAATGCTAAGTATAACAAAACAACACCATTAGTCTGCACGAAAATATGATAGCATTAGAGCTGTACAATCTTTCTGGACAGTATTTAAAAGGAAATTGAGATTGTGGGGATTAAGCAAGAAAGATGATCCTGGAAAAGAAAAATAGAGCAATAGCTGGAATAACAATGCACTACCTATAGATGTATTTTTCCACTTACATTCCAGGGAACATATTCATATAATTTCAGTGTACCTAAAGGCCCCAGGCTACATTAGATAAACAATTTACCCTGTGGCACATAACTAAGTGCTGAAAAAGAATACACTGCTTCAGAAAAACAGGTTTTTAAGAGGAAAGGTGCTATGAGTATTTCTACTGCTGTAGCTAAAAGCAATTTGGAAATACAGGGATATCTGTAAATTTTTACTTTTTTTCCCATTAAAATGCCTTTCTGAAATCTTCAAAAGCAGTCATTGGTTATAAGAATGGTATATTATCTGCATTTTAATAGTCCACGTTTAACACCTCAGAAACCAACGCATCTTACTGAAGATGCAGAGGAAATGCAGAGAAACAATTACCAAATAGCTATAACATTAGATAGCATTAGCTTTATATAGCTTCCACGCTTTTTCTACTTTAGGTTGTGGCAAAGCTTCTGTTCCCTTCAGCTCACAGGAGCACAGAGGTATACGAGTGGTATAATGTACTGCTCGTAAATCAGAGTGCACATATGAATTCAAAGAAGGATTAATATAACTAGACAACGCCTGTTTATCACCACTAAACCTTTGAACGAGCTGCTATGAGGAAAATCTAACAAGGACGCTATAAGTGACCTGCTAAAAAGGAACACTCACCTCCCTGTGACAGAGTCAAATCCAAAATGAAGTTCTTTGCAACGTTCACACATCTGTCCTGTTACAGAAGCATCTTGGCAAACACATTGGCCAGTTAGTTTATCACAGGTCTGATTCACTGAACCAGCTGTGTGGCACAGGCATGGCAGACAGCCAGTGACACTGGATGGAGAAAAATAAAAACCTGGAAAAGAAAGGGATTTTGAGAATAAACAATATGCAACACGTGAACATAGTGAGATCATTATTAACTTGTGTGTAATCGGGGATGAAACAACAGAACTAAAGCTTAAGTAACACACGGCCTCAACTCGAGTAAAGCAATACCGTCCTCCTGCAAAGCTGAGCTTCTAAATCTTCTCATTGGCACTTTGCATAAGCCATTATTCATCCTCCAGTTGCCAACTTTATTCTTTCTCTTTGGACTTTATTTTAGCCAGAGCAAATACAGAATAGGGGGAGTACATAAACATGTCCGTTGGAAAAGACTCAAGGACATGACAGCTACTAATAAATGCACCTCAAGCAGCAGAAACATAAAAAATAACATACAAGATCAGACATTTATCCATTCTAGTCTGGGATCTCATCTCTGACAATGGCCAGTTGCAAAATGTAAGAAATGCACATATTTTCTTAAGTCTTTTAATCTTTCTCAACCAGTGATTTGCTTAACCGTTGAAACATGGGGGTGTTTCTTAGAAAAACCTACATTTGATGAGCATTGCCAGTTTTATGTAAAATTTATATTTCAGTCTTCAACAGACAGCTTGTATCCTACATAAATACTTTTACAGAAATTAATAAACTGATGGAAAAAAAATTACTATCTGCTATAGCAAAGCTTTCATTCTGAATACCATCTTTCTGTTCCTGTATTATTCCCAATTATGAACTGCAGCATTAATTTCACCTTCCCCACAGTATATTTGGCATGCATCTAACCATACTATCTTTCATTCTATTGCACTCACAAGCTATCTTTATCTATGCAAGTCTCTAACACATTACTGACAAATACAGTTAGGTAGGGTTTATACACCTTTAATCTGGTAATTGAAGAATTTACCCATTATTCATAGTATTGCCTCAAATTTCAAACAAAGGATCACTGAAGCACATTTTTATAATGATGCTGTACAACTTGCACAATCTATTTTGTTAACTATGGTCTCCTTCCATTCTTACTAATTTATTTTCTATATATCTGATCAGAAGACAATTCAAGTAACAGAACACCAGCAAGAAACATAATTACATAATTTTCCAAAATTATTTTCACACAAATGGCTCTGCTCTCCCCGCCCCCCAAGTGGTACTGTTGATTAAAAATGTAGCAACCTGTAATGTGCATGAGTTCTGCACATGATGATGGCAGCACAATACTGACACTTGTCAACTGCAATTTGAACATCAGTCCTAAGATAGGGCCATTGATAGGATTTTCTGTCTCTGTCAGCTGGTTACTATTAATTATTATTGCACAACTTCAGTAGAAGAATTTCAACCATTACGCAGATACACAGTATTTGCACAGACTTCTCTGACACCTTCCCTCACTCTCCCATTCAATCAGTTTGTTCTTAGTCATGTTACCGAATCTTTTTTGCTGTTGAACAACTTTCTGATGTCCTGCTTTATAATAAAAGAGCCCAAAATTGTATTGTAACATGTCATATCACCCAAGGCCTTATTATTTATTTTGTCTTAAAAGAGATAGCTTTATATATACACACCCCTAGGGTGGTATTCTCTGTCTTCGCAGCAGTGTTGCACTGTGAGCTCATCTCCAAATAGCACAGGAACTAAACAAATCGAAAACATTAGAAATTTACTGCTCAAATCTTTGTTCAAGTTTAGCCTCTAGTCCTCAGTGAGATAAATCTCAAGTGGACAGTGAAGTGATATCAGTCTCCAGTTAACATATATTCGCATCATAAAAAACCATGCTGTTGGCACTTTATTCCAGAGAGGCTCTGAACTGAGCCACCACCGAGACTGAATAGCTTGAAGTTATTAGTGAGGCAGCATGTATTATCTCATGCTGCAGTTGTCTGCACAGTACAGTGCCCATCCTGTGCATAAATAGAGGAGACCATTTCCCAGCAATGTCACTCTTGAGCACAATGAATGACTCCACTCATAGAACGTAACAGGAAGACAAGAAACAAGTTTAAGCCTGGACTCCCGAAAAAGGTCACAGCACTTCTTCGGGACCCAGTTTATAGATGCAGTAAATGATAAGCACTCAGGCTAAAATAAATCCTTGTCCATCTAAAATTTTGCATGAAACTAAAGTCTAAGAAAAGACAATAGGGTAAATAAGCACATCTGTAGAAAATAAAATCATTTTAGCTGAGGAGGATTGATCACTACAGCATATATTGTTTTTGTCACAGCAGTGAAATTCATAATTGTAAAGAATATGTATGTTACTGTTAAGCATCCTGGCTCTCCTAATGTCATACCACCTAAACCACTGTAGAGCAGTGAAGGATTTGGTATGACTTTATCTTTTTTTTTTTAATAATAATCTTTTAGAAATGCTCTAAAAGCTTAACTAAGTTTCTGGATACTACCACATTTTTTTTTTTTAGAAGTAGCAAGTAAAAGTAAAATTTTTTTAAAAGTAAAAGTGAGGGATAGGAGAATTAGAGAAAGTCCTTCTCCCAACTAATTTATAAATAAATTAATACGATTAAATGTAGACAAAAAGAGAAGAGACAACGGATTACAAATTCATACTTTTTGTCATAACCATTATTATTATTTACTTCAACCACCTAGAATTTGGCATGAAAGAGTAAGAAACTTAATGCAAGCTTAATTTACAGCAAGGTTAGAAGGGCTCATAAAAGTTGCTTTATGAAGGATCCACTGTTTTATAATAGAGCCAGTTTCCAATTTTAAGACAGCCACTGCAAATCTCTACAAGATCTATGTATATAACTAGTATTATGCCTATTCTTTTTCAGATTTTTTTCCAATTCAACCATAACTGATCAGATTTGTCAATCAAACATACTCTTCAAAAAGAAGAATGAAAGTCATAGCAAAGTACTCAGCGTCCTTTTTTAATCACACTCTTACTATTTCTCCCACTGTATAGCTCATGGAAAAGGAACATCTGAGCAATTTCTTAGCACTTTTACATGCTCACAAACTATGGCGGTAGTGCTCATTTGTTAACCACAGTCTGGGCTTCAAAATGCAGAGTTAACAACACTGACAACTTTGTCACAACATACTTCACGTTTCTAGCCTAGAAGAGAGGTAGTACATACATCAAAACTCAGTATTGATGCCTGGCGACACAGCCTACATGCTGGTTTACATCTTCTCTGTACTACATGAAAAGCTCCATGAAAAGCTGTGGTCACTAAGTAAAGAACTTACAAAATGCACTTTGTGTTTTTTTTTTTTTAAAACAGCTTTGCTGCTCTCATAACATGATCCAAGACCTGTGTTGAACAGGATTTCTGCCGCACAAATCTCAGTTGGTGTGGCAACACAGTCCTGGAATAAGGCAGGGACAAACTGTTCATACCTATTTGGGGGCTGGAAAGATCAATTTTCTACCACTGCAACCTAGGACATCTCAAAAGCAAGTTTATATACAAGGTAAATCTGCCCTTCCATTTGGTTTCATGTTAGGATCAAGTGTTCGTCTCTTTGCACACACCATTAGTTTAAAAAAATTTAAATGTACAGAAATCTACCGAAAATGTTACTTGTATGAGAACTGGAGGTCATGGATACTGCCTAACAGATGAAACACATGGCTGAATGCTCCAGAAAGAGTTTTTATTAAAAAAAACCCTCCCAATAAAATAATTTCCTGAAGTTACATCTAGTTTGAGTTTTTTCCATTGGCAACTCTTCCTGCATCAAGATTTTGGTAACTTTTGGAAACCTCTCAAATTTTAATAAAGCACACTGGAGATGTGCTACAATAGGACTTTATTTTACATACCACTAATTATAACAGACTTCTAATTACACAGAATTAAAAAAAAGAAAAAAAGACATAGAACCTGTATTCCACTGAGGAAACTTCGGACCACAGAGTTGAAATGTCCGAGCAGCCTCCTCAGTGTGTTTTTAGGGCTGTCAGTTTTAATTAATTACTTGTGTGCTTTTAATTAGGCTGTGTTGGCTAAATATACACTCAGGAGTGTGTTTTCTTATCTTTGTCCCAATGCAAAGCCATAGGACATGTTTAGAGCACTTGAAACCAGTTAAAGTCTCCCATACTTCTACGACTTAATACTAGTATTACTAGCAGGCTATACTCACCCTTGTTTCATAGCAAACTCTCCTTTGGAACATACTAACCAAGCATTTTTATATAAAAATTAGATATCAAATGTCTAAATGAGCTCACATTGGGATCAACACTAAAATGTCATTGAAAATACCATAGTACGCTGTGCTACACTAAGAGCAATACAGTGCTTTTAAAACCTAAGAATTTACAGCCACCTGCAGAAGAGAGCTCAGTGTTCAGCAACTACATACTTATTACTTAGAAAATTTAAAAATAATTCTTATAGTAATGTTTTTTTGTTGTTAATTTTGGCTTTTATTTTTTTAACTGGAACTATTGTGAAAGTATTCCTTTGAGTGCCATGTAAGCTTTTCTACAAACCAGTCTGTTCACACTATCAATTAAACCTTTTTAAACCATTTAGTTCTGCATAAACCCTGGCCTTTCTCTTTCAAGGACAAGGGCGGTCACTGACTCGGGAAGCCTTGACATCACTCCTCTGCCGATCTCTGATTAAGTGGCTGCTGCAGAGGGTTAGCAGGTCAAATAGCACTGGAGGAGGAACTAAGAAAAACAGAACGCTGCCTTATTTATTAGTATATGTACCTAAAATAATTTAAATGAAAGTATTTTTAAAAATACTTAATGGAGGTTAAGCAGCTTTCTTAACCTCTGTTCAAATTATTGAATGGCATATTAAGACCAATGGAGCTATAATGTATCTTTTAATGTGACCTGCTACTTTAATAAATTGCATATGTATTTAACTTGAACTAAATCTATCTGTTTAATATTATTACTAAGGGGAGGTTAATATTACCTATAGCTTCACTTTACCCACCGACTTTTTAAAACAAAAATATTAAAATATAACTAGAGAGTTTCCCACTTACAATGAACATTTAAACCCTGTTTACAGTAGTATGGTACAGAATCTTGTAGCAACTGCAGTATCACCTACTTGTAGGGCCGAACCATAAACAGTCCTCATGAAAGCCAGCACATCCTCAACACAGCAAGGCAGGTGAATGCTTTTTAAGCAGCATGTTTGCCAGCCTCATCAAAGTTTAAGCAACCATCTCTGTACCTCCCGCCATGCTTTATGCATGAAGCGCCCTTCCTGAAGAGCTTGCACTCTACCTTCCAAATCCACATTTATCATTACAAGGATAGCTGCTGTTCATCACACTATGGTAGTTTACCTCTTATTCAGTGTACTGGACCTGACGATTTGTATATTTTCATAATATCTAGAAGAACTAGGCCTAACCTTATTTAGGACATGCTGAAACTGCAGTGATAAGACATATTATATAACCTCTGGCAATAGAACTAATATTGGATGGAGATCAGGATATTAATACTTCCTTCTCACTCACACAGTTAGGAAGAAATGGAAAAATAATTAATAATATGTCAGAGACGTCAGACATGAAGCTGTCTATGAACACATATTGAGATCTGTAGGAACTGTGATGATATCCAACTAAGCAAAATTTAGTGCATCAAACAGATTGTCTTCCAATGTCCTTACCTGGTTTACACTCATTACACCTTCTTCCCTGACGCTGAGGCAAACAGACACACTGTCCAGAAACGTGGTCACAAACTGTTCCTGCCAATGTGCCCAAAGCATCGCAGTCACAACGCTGGCAGCCGAGGAGGTTGCTCATGCTGAGGTTGTATGTATGAAGTGTGCACTGACTGCACTGAAGGCCAGTTACACCAGCTTTGCAAGGACACTGTCCTGTTGATTTGTCACAAAGCAGAGAGCCATTTACTGTACCTGCCTTATCACAATTACATGGCAGACAAACAAAGGAATTATTTTCCTGTAGTTTGCGGTAGCCATCTAGGCATTCATCACATTGTCTTCCTCCAATATTTGGTTTACATGCACATTGCCCTGTCTTTGCATCGCACACAGGTCCAGAAAGTGACCCTGCAACGTTACATTCACAAGCCTTACAACCAGTTACATCCAGCCCATAAAAGTTGTCCATGCAGGTGTCACAGTGAAGTCCTTTCACTTGTTCTTTACAATTGCACTGCCCAGAGAGAGGGTTGCAGAATTGGTTCACTGAGCCGTGGCTGTTGCACCAACAAGGCTCACATCCATCTTCATTAGAATATGTGAGAGCTTTAAATCCAAAATTGCAACTATCACACTTTAGACCTGGAAAAAGAAAAGGTATTAATAAAAAAAACCTGAAAAGCTATTGATTTCCATTTTTTAAAAAAAGGTTAAATACACTACACTTGAAAAAAAAAAAGATGAGAAAGGAAGGTACTAACATTCTTCACCAGCATAATTAACAGGAATGAAAGGGCTGCTCAAATCAATTGAATAACAGTGGCATACCAAAAATTTGCTTACTTTTTCAATTTGTTTCAGAAGCGATGTGTTTCTGCTGGCTTCTCAATACAATTTAAGATACTTCTGCAAGAGATTCTTTGTAACATTTCTAAGATAAACCAGAATTAATCTCTTTGTCCCCCAGAACAGCACCTGTTGCACTATCAATGCTTACTTGAACCCTTCACCCTATATTGTAGAAATGGTATATACAGAGAATTGCACTGGGCTCTCAAGCTGTTCTGATAACAGATTTACATATTATATTAAAAACATTAAATACACTCTAGGACAACACAAGTTAGACTAATTATGTAGAATTATTTACTTAACACTGTACTCTGGTTTTAACATTGATTACATTTATGCTAGTGTTTATCATTAGCCCTTACTGAAAGCAGAAAATGGTTTTCATAATCCAGAATGAAATATTTTTATCTAAATGTATGATTTAGTTAACTTCTGCAGTACATTAAAATCTAAACTGTTTTCTTCATACTTCATCCTGTGGTTTTATTAGCTTTGTTTTCAAAGTCATCACTTGTTTTATCCCTGCCCCAAGGGATGGCATTTAAATTTTCGTTTATAAAACGTACATTACAAGAAAGCAAACTAGATTATTATATGAAAAATGCAAATTCAGTTATGTATTTTGCCTTGCAATAGGAAAATTCTTCACTATGAGGCCATCACTTAATTGTTGCATACAGAAAAATATAAATACAATGTTCTAGCAAGATATTGTCATCATTTAAAAAACACAAAACCATACAAAAATACATCTAGCAACTTCTGTGTAAAAAAATAAAACTAAAAATGGCAGGAAATGCATTATACATATGGATAAAACCTCGAAAACTCCAACAGAAGGCAAGTTCCTTTAACAGTGATGAATGACTCACCTAAGGCATATCATTTAATTTCAATAAGGAAAATAAAAAAGGACCACTATTGCTGCAAATTTTAAAAATAACTGTATTGTTAACAAGAATTATGACTCATTTTGAACTATTAAAATTGGTCTACATGGATTCATATCATATCAGTTTTAAAAATATGCGCAGTGCTTATTTGAATATGCCATACATATTCCTGACAGGTAATCTATTCCTAACGATACTGAGGAAGGCCTACAGGGCATCACATTCAATGTTAACAAGTAGAGGGGAGTTAGCACGCTTGGCATTTAATTCACATTCTTCTACCTTTTTATTCTAGATGAATGACCTACTTTAATAAAATTATTGGTGCTAATGTATTTTACTGGTGATAGAATCATTAGTAAGATTTAACAGTTGTGTTAACTCTAACAGTTCATGTTTCATAACACCGCAGTCCGTAGATGCATTGTTCTGTTATTGTGTTTGTTTAAATAGATACAATGGCAATAGACAGATTGCTCTAAAAACCAATTTAGAAAACCAAAGAGGAAAGCTCTGTTAAAGTTTGCTGCTCACATTCCAGTAAACAGAAGCTTATGTACAATTGCTTTGAAAAACAACAGAGAGAGTCCGCAGTCTGGAAAGAATTAGATCTTTATCCTGCAAACAAACAGTTGCATAACTACAATCTTCCACCATATTTACAGATAAATTTGCAGAAAGTATAGATTTACACATTTCTTGTATTACTATTTCAGTGGAAATAAAAATAATTCTTACTGTTGTCATCAAAGGGAGAAAATAATAATATGTAGACAATCAAACACATGAGGACTACACTGTGCATTTCTTGTATACCAAACTCCCAAGGAGCTAAGAAAGGTTTTCACAGGTGCAAACGTGAAATGTCGACAAAGAATATACAATTAAGAATGTTCTGAAGTCCATTTTATTGAATGTAGAGCATGGCTTTAAGACACATGGAAAGTCACGGAGGTTATTTTTGGCTCTTAGCACTCTTTTTATCATCTGGCAAACACAGGTACTTGGTATTCCACAGCAAAGAGGACAGAAACTGTTTGGGTTTATGTCTGTTCAGAGTTATTTTCACTATTTTCTGTTATTTTGGATTTGTTCTTGGAAATTAGAGGACACAGATTTACAATATTACAAATAAGTCAATATTCACAAGTCAGTGAATTGCAAATTAGCAGATACTTGAACACTTAATACAACCCACAACCATGGTCAGCTAAAAAAAAAAATTACTAATTGTGTTAATAACAAAGCAGAAGGTATCTCTTTTTCTCTTTTTTCTTTTGGTTTGGGTTTTTTTTTTTGAGACATATGTATAGTCAGAGACATGTACAGTTACCATGTAAGGCTCACTTTATCAGGAAATTCTCCTTGCATAATATTCCCATATATCAACATTTCAAAGCATGTTATATATACTGTGTATTTTGGGCACTTGATAAATTTTGTCCTTATGTGGCTGTGGCTCCCCTCAAATATGCTGGAAGTAATAAATTGCTATAATCAAATCTAATTTCTGAAAAATACCTGTGGGAGTAACAAACAAAAAAGCACGTCTTGTAAAAAAAATGATAAATAACACAGAAGGTAGCAGTTTATTATAATCAGCTTGGCATTGAATTACAAAATTAAAATTATGTGGCCCTTGATAACTAACCCTAGCTATGTACATGATCTGTGGAATTATGTTGACTTATTTTGCATTTCATAGGAACAGTTCAAAGAAATATAATAGAAAAAAATGGATAGATTTATCACAAAGGACCCTGTAGCACAGAATATTTTCAGGAAAAAAAATCCATTTATTTTGGTCTATTAAGAAAACTAGCATGGAAACTATTTGCTTAGAACTCATTAAGTATAAAACATTTTGAAAAAGTGTTAATTTCCTAAAAGAAACATCTATGCAGTAAGCAAATTACATTATTTCTGTGACTTATTAGTACAGACCTATGCGAGCTAAAGTAGCTATGCCATAAAGAAACTTCTAAAGGGTTGATTAAACTAAGCTTCAAGCTGTATTTTGATAGAATTATTAAATTAATAATTTTTCAACAGTTAATTTCATTCATTTTTATAATCTGCCTTCAGCAAAGAAGTTTACTATATTTTTCATTTAGAAATCAAGTGTGTTTTATTTCCAGAGATAACAAGAGAAACAGCTCCAAACTCTTGCATTCCACATACCAATAACATTTGCTTTGCACTTGCACTGGCCTGAATTTTGGTGACAGGTAATATCTCCATTGACTGTCCCAGAGGTATTACAGTTACAGGGACTGCAGCCATCAGGGTTTGACTGTTGTAGATTGTAGAATCCTTCCTGGCACTGATTGCATTGTCTGCCAGACACATGTCTCTTACAATTACACTGGCCTCCAATCTAGAAAGATACAAAATATTATAGAATGATGAACATATCTATTTTTAGATGATACACTCATTAGCAACAAGAATGGGAGTATGAGTTGGGGAGGAGAAAACTGTAAATGGAACAGAAAAAATAAGCCTGTGTAACATATACTTTAACTTGTTGAGAGACACAAAAAAAAAGAGAAATATTAAACAGTGTAACTGTCCCATTTTTAAACAGAGTTTAAAAGCCCTGTTCTTTCAAAACAGTAGGAAAAAGGAATTGGGTAAACAATGTGGCAATATTTACCATCTGTAAAAGAGAAAACTGCAAAGAATAATTACAAAGTTGCATTGTATAAATGGTGACTTCTATTAATACAAACAGTACTGTCTTTGAATCACAGTTACTGCAAAACACGGTATCGTTTGCAAAGGTCAAGTTCTGCATTTTTTCGCTCAGACCATATGCGTATTTATCTTAGTGAAAACGTTAGTTAAATAAGAACAAAGCAAAGTTGAAAGATTTCCTTTCTGATTAGTCATCCAAGATAAATCTTCTCTTCCCTTACAGCAGGATGTGACCCAACAGCTCAGTATCTGAAACCCTCTCCCTCTTTGCTTGGTTCAGCTGGGATCCAAGCGTTCCACTTCAGTGGTGGGATATAAAGCCCTGTCCTACTCCCGAAATAGGTAGCATGGCTCTTTGGAAGGAGCTGAGGCATCCCTCATTACGTCTGGGCCACTGCCTGGGAATATTTGTCTCGCATCTTGTGCAAGATTAAAGGGCTCCTGGAAAGCTATCTCAATCCGAAACCTCTGAAAGCCAGAAAAACCCCAATCTCTATATTCATCATTTTCTGATACGGTGGGAAAACTGACCACAGGGAAAGGGCAACGGCACAGGGAGGGGGAAAGGAATGGAAGACGTCAGTCAGCACACAACAGAGAAGAATAGGGAGCTGAGGCAACACAGAGATGCAGATGTGAATCGGCAAAAGGTTTAGAATTCAGAGTCATGGAACAAAACCTAACTTTTCTAACTCAGGTGTTCTGGGGAATGCAGACATAGCAGCAAACAATTAAACTCCGTGTTATAATTAATTTTCTTTGGGTCAGTATATTTTATTCAATGCAAATATTTTCAAATACGAAAAAGTACAGTGATTCAAAACTAGTTACTTATCTACAACATCAACGGCTGTAGTTCAATGTACTTTGCTTTTAATCAGCTACCAGAACAAAAATTTCTCTTAACAGTTGTCTTTTTCATCTTAAACCTATCAGTCAGGCAAGGCTGAAACAACAGGAGAGTCCTGTGGCATTAGAGACAAAGCTACTTGGAAGTTCTACTTAAAATAAATGTTCTTATCACACCCTCCAATCTACGATGAAGCTCTAAGCTTTATTAATACAAGATAAAATAGTAGATTCTCAGTGCAGAAAACACTGAAGAAAAGCTATAAAGAAGTATGTATTCCTATCCCTTCTGTATAAAAAGATTCGTAGTCCAACAAAACCTCTTCAATATGCTTTCATGATAGAGATCTATTACTGATGTATCAGCCACATCTTTCAGGAAGATGAATACATTAAAAAGGCAAGAAAACAATGTTTTATAAACAAAAGGTAAGATGACAGCAAGTGCACAAAGGCAAAAGATTTAAGAGAGGCCACAACAGCAGAAAACACAGCAACAAGGATTTTCAAGTGTTCCCTTTAAGAGTGGATTTGATGTAGATATTTAGTGTATTATAAGAAACTCAGCCGTGCATCACAGCCATTCATCAGAGAAGTCACATGTGAAAAGCAACTCTGAGTTTAATCCTAAATGAAGAAAAATACCTAGTTTAATACATAACTGCAAAAGAAACAGTTTGTGTTAGTGTTCATAGCATACTTAGATTATACAATAGCAAGTATTATATAAAAGTTACCTCATTAGCACTCAACAAACACATAACTCATACCTAAAAACATTTTAAAGTTACTTCAAAAGCTACCACGGGAAGGACAGCATTAGATGCAAAAGGTTGTATTCAAAAAGTGGAAATCAGATCAAAATAAGGACGTTCAATAAGAGAGGATAACCACCACCAAATTTTAAAACCAGGACAAGGCAATACAAAAATCTGCTTATAATGAGCAACATGCTTAAGGCACAAAGGGGGAAAAACGAAAATTTTTTTTCAAATGTCAGAAATAAAAGAAGCCTAATGGAGAATCAGTGAGGGCAATAAATAATTAAGTGGTATGATCAGCAGATTCAGATTGGACATCAGAACTTTTTCACTAAGAGAGAAGTGCAGCATCAGTAACAAGCTACCCAGAGGCGCTGTGGAATCTCCATCCCCAGTAGTATCAAGACTCATCCAGACAAAATCATGACTGACTGGATCCAGTGCTGAGAACAATCCTGCTTTGAGCTGGAGCAGATGACCAACTGATGCTTCTATGATTCTGTGTAGCATTCATGAAAGACAGAACCACAACAGACATTGCAAAGAAAGTATTTCACAGCTGTTCACTAGAGATGAGGTGTTACCATTCTTTACTAGGAACAATTTTCAAGACTTGTTTCAAACTGAAATGTCAGAAGGAAAAGATTTTAGCAAAATTTCATCTGTTGAAAAGTAACTACACGAGTCAAGCATTCTAGATGAACTGAAATATAAAATCACTGAGTTATTAATTGCTTAAATCAACCTCAGTAAAAGAGGAAAAAAATTACAAAAGTTACATCAATCTCCTTAAAAGACCGTAAGGAAGCTTCTGAGATCTACAGACTAGTAGTCTTTTTCTGTACAGAGCAAATTAATAGAAATGAAAACATGAGTTTGACATACTGGAAAAGATTGGTACTATTTTTGCAAAGAAAAACCATGCTTCATACTTCTACTGCATTTCTTTAAGTTCGTAACATCTGGAAATGTCACATATACTGAACCAAATGGATGATCATAAAGTCAAATTAATTTCTACATCAAGAAGTACAAACCTAATGCCTGGGGAAAACCAGTGCTGACTATAGGTAGACAGTGATGAGTCCAAAATTAGCTATTATCACTCAAGAAAGGAGCTGTTAAAGCTGCTCCATTCCCCCTAAAAATCATTTGAAAGCTCTGAGGCAGTTAAAAAGGCAATAGGAATACTAGAGTTCTTAGGAAAAGAACCAAAAATTATACAGAAAATGTCATTCTGTCATAAAAATCCATTGTGTATCAATTTTGCACAATTTGTATATCAGGTTACCCTCTCTAAAACAAAGGAGGTCGCAGAGTGAGTAAAATAAGCAAAGATACAAATGAAAAGAGACTAAAAAAAAGACTTTTGAGTTTGGAAAGAGATGACTAAGATGAAGAGAATACATGTCTATAAAATCATGAATGGCTTACAGAATGAACATTCATTATTTCTCACAACATAAGAAGGAGAGAACACCCAGGAAATTATCAGAAAGCAAACTTACAGGAATGAAAAAGTACATGGACCACAAGACGGGGATTGGGGCAGCAAAGTCCCTCTCACTGTAAAGGAAGATCAGGTTTGTGACCACCTGAGGAACCTGAACATACATAAGTCTATGGGACCTGATTAGATGCATCCCAGAGTCCTGAGGGAATTGGCTGATGTAGTTTCCAAGCCACTCCTCATGACATTTGAAAAGTCACATTGAAAAGGGCAGTCAGGTGATGTCCCTAGTGACTGGAAAAAGGGAAGCTTTGCACCCATTTTTAAAAACGGTAGAAAGGAGGACCCTGGGAACTACCGACCTGTCAGCCTCACTTCTGTGCCTGGGAAGATCATGGAACAGATCCTCCTAGAAGCTGTGCTAAGACACATGATGACAGGGAGTCGTTTGGAGACAGCCAGCATGGCTTCACCAAGTGCAAGTCCTGCCTGACCAACCTAGTGGCCTTCTATGATGGAGTGACTACATCAGTGAACAAGCAAAAGAGCTACAGATGTCACCTATCTGGACTTTGACACGGTCCCCCACAACATCCTTCTCTCTAAATCAGAGAGATATGGATTTGATGGGTTGGCGGTTCAACAAATTAGGAACTGGTTGGATGGTCACATCCAGAGGGCAGTGGTCAATGGCTCAATGTCCAGATGGAGATCGGTGACAAGGGGTGTCCCTCAGGGGTCCCTACAGGGACCATTGCTGTTTAATAACTTCATCAATGATATGCTGGAATCAAGAGCAACCTCAGCAAGTTTGCAGATGACACCAGTCTGAGTGGTGGGGTCAGCATGCCTGAGGGACAAGATGTCATCCAGAAGAACCTGGACAAGCTTGAGAAGTGGGCCTGTGTGAACCTCATGAGGTTCAACAAGGCCAAGTGCAGGGTCCAGCTCTGGAGCCCTCAGCACAGGAGAGACATGGACCTGTTGGAGTGGGGCCAGAGGAGGGCCACAAAAATGATCAGAGGGCTGGAGCACCTCTTCTATGAAGACAGGCTGAGACAGTTGGTGCTGTTCAGCCTGCAGAAGAGAAGGGTCTGGCAAGATTTTATTGAGACCTTTCAGTAATTAAAGGGGGCTTATAAGAAAGATCGGGACAAACTTGTTAGCAGTGCCTGTTGTGATAGGGCAAGGGGTAATGGCTTTAAACTAAAGGAGGGTAGCTTTAGACTGGATATAAGGAAGCAACTTTTTACAGTGAGGGTGGAGCAACACTGGCACAGGTCGCCCAGGGAGGTGGTAGATGCCCCACCCCTGGAAAGATTTGAGGTCAGGTTGGATGGGGCTCTAAGCAACCTGATGTAGTTGAAGATGCAGGGGAGGTGGACTAGATGACCTTTAAAGGTCCCTTCCAACCCAAAGTATTCTATGATTCTATGATTTTTCTATATACTTCAAGTAAAATATACTTTTTGTTTTTTGAAGTGCATTAAAAAATTAGTTAGATTAATTCCATATGTGGACACCAAACACAACAGTTCAGATGAAACCCCTGAGTTTGGCTCAGGTAGTCCTAAAACTATAAATAACTGGGATCTAGAAAAGTATATCATAGAAGGATCA